TGTTTTTTTTTTTTTTTTTTTTTTTTTTTTTAGTTCAGGGCAAAAACACGTACATATGCAGAAGAAGAAATGCCCATCACACACACCCACACACACACACACCCACCCTTATCTGATCCGTCGTTGGATGGGAATATAATACAGTACAGTACAGTAGTCGATAAGTAGCCGCCATGAAGAGAGAGAGAGAGAGAGAGAGAGAGAGAGAGGTATGGCTCTATTGCGGACAGAAAAAGCAAGTGGGCGAAAATGGACCACACCCTTCATTTACCTGTGTGATCAGCATATGCGTAATGTCATGTGGGCTACTCTGTCCACTTTTCCATCCCATGGCCCAAAGCGGAAGTGATTGACGGGTGAGAACTTGTCCTGGCGGCTGGCATGACTGGGGGTAGGGACGGTGTGTGCCATGGGCGAACATGTTTCCACGGCCCATTTTGGGACAAGAGAGTGAGAGAGCACGTCAGATATGAGCGGCATATTTTTTTTGTGTGTGTGTGTGTGTGTTTTTGCAATGTCAAAGAATATTGTTGATTGTTTAAGATTATACAGGGAATCGAAGGATAATGTACCAGTACCAATATTGCTGATGGAAAAAAAAGAAGGAGACAAAGTTTTCAGCAACCAAGAAAAAAAAAAGAAGACAACAAGAAAGAACACAAAAGTGGTGTAAATCGCCTGCTTTACCGAGTGTTGTCGTCATGAGAATCAAGGGAAAAGGGCCGCCGGGAAAAAAAATACATACATGAAGCGAGACTGGTATCGCTGCCAAGCGAAGAATAAATAAAGACAAGAAAAACAAAGGAGAAATTCGGTGGTTCGTCATGTCATGAATCCAGTCGAGAAACCATACATCCATAGCCATTTTTGGTTTAGTAAGACATAGTCGCTGGGAGGGTGGCAACACCTGAAACGCCAAATGTAAGCCCAAATCAGGAACAAATTGGTCGCCTCGGTCAAAATTGGTTGTTGGGGTGCTCTTCGCTGTGCTGGCTTGCATTTTCCATGACTTCTCCGAGAGTAGTGCCGACGGCAGAATACGAGTCGTTATGCGCAGAATCGTTGGGCAGATACGAGTTGGGAAAAGATGACAAGTGGTGGGGGGCACTCATTTGAGGCATGGAGAAACTCGACGTCACGAGCGGTGAGCCGGAGAAGGACGGAAAGTGGGCAGTTTGTGGTGTTGAGCTGTTGCGCTGAGGCGTAAAGTTGCTGAGCTCGATGCGGCGAGGAACGCCGTTGGAGAAGGAACGGAGTCTGTTGCCGTTGGACCCAAAACCTGGTACGGGGGAGTCTAGGGTTTGTTAGACGGTATCCAATTGCGAGGCAAAGGGCAAATCAGACTTACATGAGTATCCAATGCCATACGGCATCATGGAGCTCGAATAAGCACGCGAGCCGTCCTGGTGGCTATCGGCCGTGCCGGTGTGATCGTTCACACTAGTGTAGCTCATGCTAGTCCGCAACGGCGACTGCAGCGACTCTGCGCGACTCCTGGAAATGCGATCGGCATGCAGCGAGAGGCGAGGTATGCTGTGGCTGGCAGCGTATGCCGGCGATGAGCTCACAGGCATCGAGAAGGGGTTGGATGTTCTGGGGCTAGTGTCAAGCGGCGCAGAATGGAACCCAAAGGGCGACGCTTCGTGGGCCGATACAGGCGAGATGGCATCTGTCGCTGATTGCGGCGGCGTGAAGGAAAATCCGCCGAAAGCAGGGCTGATGCCCGTGGGTGAGATGTGGGAGTCGAGCGGCCCTCGCCGGAAAGTGTCTATGCTCAGCGGCCGCATCAAGTTGCCGTCTGCATAGCCTGGGGTATAGGGCGCAGGCGATGCAAGAGGTGTGCCGAGCCCCCCGTGCGAGCCCCCAAAGGGTGCATGCATCGCCGAAGCCATGTCGAAATCATCCGGCAACGCCCGAGACCTCATCATGCGCTCACGGTCGTCGCTTGTGAGACGCTTGAGCTTCGCTCGCCTACCGAAAAAATTAGTCTTGTTTGTAACAAACGACTAGCCACTACACATACCTGTTCTGGAACCAGACTTGCACTTGGCGGGGGCTGAGGCCGGGGATTTCCCGAGCCAACCGCTCACGGTGAGCGGCATCGGGGTGCGCTTGACGAGCAAACTCGCTCATGAGGAAGCGAGTTTGGTTGTGCGTCAACCTGAACCTCTTCATCTTTCGCTTCGCCGCGCGGATCTCTGCGGCCGACATTGGTGGCCTGTCCTCGTCCTTGCAGTCGTCGTCGCCGCAGTCATCCTTGTCGTCGAGGAAGAGCTCGTCTTCTTGGTCGTGGTCCTGCTCCTCGCTCTTTACTACGCTGACACCATCGTTTGTCGAGGGGGGAGTGAGGCGAGAGATTGGGCTGGTGGGAGCCGAGCCACCAAATGTCACGTTGGGAACGTCGTGCTGCTCCATCTCGTCAAGACCTGATGGTGTCGAAGTTCCGTTGCTGAGTTGGTTCTTGCTGTCGAGCAGATAAGGAAAGCTCTTGTGTGATCGCATCGATGGTCTCTTCATATCATAGTTGTGTGCAGAGACTTCGGCATGAAGCATGGCCATGTCGTTGTCTGAATGTGGCGGCGTGTTCGCTAGAGTCCTGACGCCTGTGGATTGCCATTCGTTGTCTGTAGCAGATGCACCGTACGCAGACATGTGCGGCGAGCTTGGTGGAGACAAAGGAATGAGAAAGTTTCCGTCAACCATTGGTGCTTTTGGGGGGGGGGGAACTGGTGTTGGGGAGTTTGCGGTAAATGTACTTGTTCACGCTGAGGCCTTGGTCAGCTTGGAGACTACACCCACCCACACACACACGCTGCTCACCTGAATGCCTCGGTTCCCTAGAGGGCCGTTCAGCAGTGTAGACAGTGAGTAGTCCACAAAGAGTAAAGATCCGAAGAACCTTGTGGCAAGTAGTCGATCAATACCCGGTTCTTATTGCGGGGTCCGTTGGCGGGTGATCAGCAACAATGTGTAGGTTGTCGCAATGACTTTATGCCGATCCAGCGGATACAAAAGCTTGATGGATGCGAGTTGTGACTCTTCCACACAAGCAATCGGTCGAGATTGTTGTGGTGGTAGCGGTGATGGTGGATATACGACTCCGTGATGTCGCACCTTTTGGGGAGTGATGGAGGTGAGGGTGAGATTGGGTGCTGTCAAGTAGTGGACGACAGCGTGATTCCCAAGAAGGAAGGAGAAGAAGTAGTAGTAGTAGTAAAGAAAATAGACGGCAGACCGTTTGGGTAGATAGTGGAAGGGGTGAGGTAGTGGTGGTGGTGGTGGTGATGATGGGCGGCGGGGCGACTTGCTCTAATAGAGAAAAGGGCGTCGTTCCCCGGGGATCAACGAATGCGAGAGGGCTTTTTTGTGAAAGAGGGCCCAGGAACGGTCGGAGGCTATATCAGCAATGGCCGCAGGGGAGGGGAACAGATCATTCGAACGCAAAGGCTTGACGGGAGACTAATGTCGACGATCCGGATAAAATCGTGGATAAGGAAAGGGCAGAAGACGGGGGTGGGTGCAAGCATGCATGGACAGAGGTCCTTCTTAGGGAAACGAGATATCCTACGAGGAACCTGGAGGCAGCTTGTTACACGACAAGAAGCGTGACTAACGTCGAGGCTAGCAGACACCCCCCCCCCCCAAGGAGCACCAGGGCCGCACAGGGATACGGTAGGTCGGGACGTGGGCCTACAACGCAGGAGAGACGGGGCGGGAACGAGCGAATCGAAGGGCTCTGGATCAGGTGTGCTTGCATTGCCAGGGTGGCCCTACCCTCGAAGCAGAAGGGGAGCGAGCGGTGCGTGAACATGGTGGGCTGCAGGCTCCCATGCTTAGAGCGTTGGTCCGTGTAGAGAAAATGGCCGACGAGCGCGGACTGATGCGTGGCGTCAAGCGGTTGATGGTCGAGGCAGGTGGCGGCGCCATTATTGGCCAAATGCGATGCGGGAGCTCCAAGGAACCCGCAGCAAGAGGCGACGGGGATGCTACAGGGCTCGGCAACGCTTGCACGCACACGGCCGGTTGCGGGGTGGTCGTTGTCAATGCTGGGCTGCTTGGGGGGGGGGGGGGGTCTGGGTGCTGGGTGCTGGTGGTGCTGCTTTAGCCTGGCGCGGCGGGCGGGCGAGGTGGTGTGGTAGCATGGTACGTCGGGAGTAGCGTGGTAGCAGCAGCAGCTGGTAGCGGCTGGTAACGGTAGTTGTTGTCGGACGCTTGGAGCCAGTGAGCCAGCGAGCCAGCGACGAGCCGGGCTCCATGGGCCCCCTCCCCTCGCATGCCATGGCGGGCCCATGACCATGTGCTAAGTATACCTCAGCGAGCCGCCGCCGGTGGTGGTGGAGGTGGAGGAGGAGGTGGTGGTGGTGGTGCTGGCAGCGTATCTGTCGACGTCGACGTCGATGTCGATGCGCACACCCATACACAGGCGCGCACCCACCCACTCTCGCACTCGGCACCCACGCAGCCTTGGGACACAAGCAAGGGAGCTTGGCCTGTGCCGGGCAGCGCGCCAAGGGGGGGTGGTGGGGTGCTCAATCACCCACCCACCTACTACCCATACCCACCCACACCACACACACACACGCACACACACACACACACGCAGGCGCCATGGGCCGGTGGCTTTGCAGTGCGTGATTCTGGCAGCTGTCAAGTGTCCCACGGTCCGCAAATTGCGTATGCGTCAGGAACGCGCTGCATCAGCCTTGCGTTGCCATGGCATGGCATGGCGTGCCCGTGCCAGCGCCTGTGTGGGTGGAGAGAGCCGCCTATGGCGCGGCGGGCCAGATGCATGAACAAGACCCAAGACCAACCGCCGTGGATGCTTCTGCCAGCCGTGCGTGCCTCCCATTGACGGGGTGCAGCTAGCCGCATGGTGGCTGCCGGTAGCAGACGGACTGACTGACGGACTGCAGGGCGCAGTGGGCGGCGGAGGAGTGTCTGGGGGTGGTGGTGGAGGTGAGGTGGAGGGTGGCGGGCGGAGATGTCTCTGGTCGTGGTCGCAGGAGTGTTAGTGGCCGTGTTCGAGTTGGTACTAGCGGCAGTGGCAGTGGCAGTGGTGGTGATGATGATGGTGGTGGGTAGCGGGCATGGAGTGGATAGTGATAGTGGGTAGTGTCGTGATGGATGTGGTGGTGGTGTGGAGAGTGTGGGCGAGCGGCTAGCAGGCACAGGCACAGGCAGGCACAGGCAGCCAGCCAGCAGCCAGCAGCAGCGCAAAAAAGATCTGGCTGGCCTACCAGCGATCTAACGGCCAAAAGCTCGGCCCGCGCCGGGAAAAAAAAGCTGGAATGGACAAGAAAAAAGAAAGAGACGACGTCGCGTGTTTCTGGAAGCCGGTTCTTGGGCGCTGTCGTGGCCGTCGTGGTGCGACGCGTGTAACACTGATAGGCTTGTTGCTGCCGGCACTTTGGGGGGAGAATGGGTACGGAGATGGGAGGGGGGGGGACGGCGGCGGCGGCGGCGGCGGCATGACAGCGGACCAGCCAGCTCGCCGTCGCTGGTGGCTCGCTCGCTCGTGCTCGCACTCGCAACCAAACCTGTCAGTCGGGCTGGCGGGCGGGCGGGGGGGCGGTGAAACTGGCTCATGATGGCGTGGTGCAGCCGTGTCTTGTGTCGCTGATGGCGAGGCTGCGACAGGCGGCGGCGGCGGGCGGCGTGCGTACGGCGGTGCAGAGTCGTGTGGGTGAGTGAATGAGCGTGCGTGCGGTGCGGCGGCCTCTGCAGGGAAAAACGCGCGATGCGCAAGCCACCCTTGCCTGCGCCGTGCCGTCGTGATCGACATTGCCCGTGTTCAAAGCAGATGAACGACGTCTCTAGCCGATGCCGCACTCGACACACACAGACACACACACACACACACACCACACACACCACTCTCCCTCTCCCTCGCTCCCTCGCTCCCTCGCTCTCATCATCCATCGCCCCGCCGCCGCCGCCGAATCCGCCCACCATCCGACGTACATACACACTATTCCTGCCTACTTGGACACCCAGCCATGTACTACACCCAATGTACATGCTCCCCCTCCCTCTGCCGCAGCCACTCCTCCACCACCACCCACTGCCGTGCTTTGCGTTTCTCCCCAGTTGAAGCACCTAGCTGACCACCAGCGTTTGGGTCGTCTGGCTTGTTTCGCCCCAGAAAAGTGCTCGACGGGGCCCGCCCACGCCATGCACGGCATTCCCACGCACGCCCGCCTCGAAAAGTCGCACCCCTCCACTTCCCAAACACCGCCAAGCCCGCCTGGCTGGCGGATGGGTGCGGGTTTCGAAATGACAGGAGCACCGCCAGACGAGCGAAACCGCGGAATTTGCAGCGGGCCACTGGCGCCGCCGCCCTTGGGCGTAGGTTTGATGAGCGCATGGGTGCCATGGCCATGGCTCTTTGTCGGCACCACATGCCCGTCTCTCTTTCATCATCGTCATGCTATCCGTCTGTCCCTCTCCACTTGTTTTTTTTTCCCTCTCCTCCCTTGCCTGGCCCCAAATACCATGCATTGCAACACGTGACCTGTGCCATCCCGTTGCGTCCGGAAACCTGTGTCTGGACCCAATCGCTTTTGCCGTCGTCGTTTGCAACTTGTCAGGGACTCGTGTCACGGCACCCGTGTGTTCCCTTGCCCCAACCCTCCTCCCTCGTATCCCTCCTCCCCTCCCCCCCCGGTCAAGCTGCGAAAACAAGGCAAGAAAAAGAAAGACAAAAATGTGGAAGCTGAAAAAGAAAGAAGAGGAAAGGAAAAAAAACACGCCTCGGACGCTCGTCGAACGGTCGTGTCAGGTAGCACAGGTCCCTTCATTTCGGAACCATGTACCATGATTCCATGTCCGTGGATCGGTCGTGCTGACCAACCATGCCTCCCTCCCTCTCTCCCTCTCTGACTGACCCTTCACCCTCACCCTCACCCACACCCACACATACATGCCCTCTCTCCCCTTCCTTCCCTCCCTCCCTCCCTCCCATCCTTCCAACACAGCCTGGAAAATAACACAGCCCCACCCCCGGGCCGGGCGACTGCATAGCTGGTCATGATCTCATTTCTCGCCCGCCTCAAAACAGCGTCAGGCTTATGACAGGGACAAAAACTCCCGACAGAGTTTGCCTGCCTGGCTACCTGGGGCCTTGCCTTGCCTTGCCTTGTCTCTCTCTTCTTTTTTTTCTTCTTTTTTCGGGTTCCATCTTCGTCATCGTCATGATAACAAGTCATGGCCATACACACCTATGTTACTACGTACACAACCACCCCCGTCTCTGACTGCTTATGCTTACCCTCTTCCCACCCCCCGGGAAACGGGGTACATGGCTCCCCCCCCCCACGCGTCTTTCCGCTATATTGTGCCAGCTGCTTGCTATCCATCGTCTGAATTCCCTTTCATCTCCATGATGGCCCTGCGCAGTGCACGCCCTCGCCCCGCCAATCGTGTGGCGCTTGCACACACACACACACAGACACACACACAGACACACAAAGGCGCCGCCGCCGTTGGCCACGGCTTTGTGCCGTTGTTCAGGCTATCAAATCCCCTCATCAGATCTATCGATATGCTGCGAGTGGTCCGGGAACAAACCGCCCCAGCCCAGCCCAGCCCAGACCCCCCTCCCCCCCCCTCTCTTACAACCCATGTTTTTTTTACCTTTCCTCCTCTCCGTCTTTTCGCTTGCATATTCGCTTACAGACATGTATCCGATCGAGGCAAGGGAAGGGAAGGGAAGGGGGGGGGAAGGAGGAGCGCCGCCGCCGCAAACGCTCCCCCATACTGCACGCCAACGCAAAAGGAAAAGCTCGTCGTCGTCGTCGTCTCGAAAGCCGTCGATAATTCATAAATATGCCTAACTGCTTTCAGGCCCCCCCTGTCGCTAGTACTACATTACCTAGGCCGTCGAATCCCCCGTCACTTGACCATGTTGGCCGGCCCGCTGCTCCTCGACGCTCTGATGCTCGCCCTGCGGAACTGACCCCTGGTCATCCGAACCAGTGGGTGCAACCTCAAGGCCCGCCGCAGCACCACCAGCAGCAGCCTCAGTGCATGAGCTGGCCGGCTGAAGAGCCTCGAGACTTTTGCCAGGCTCCATCCGGTCAAACCACACCAGCTGCTTCTTGGACGCCAGACGAAGCCCTCGCCACACATGGCTCGCCTTTTGCTCCTCGAGCTGCCGCTTCTCCTCGTCGCCCTCGGCCATGTCCATGTCCAGCTCCGTCATCTTGACCCTCTTGCTATACCACTCTGCGCTCGGCACGTTGAACCTGTCGCTCTGCCGCAGCTGCGAAAGCCCCTTTTCCGCCTCGTTGTTGTACAGAAATTCAAACATAGTGGGCACGCCCATGGGCCTGGCTGCCTTCTTGCTGACCACGGCCTTCTGCGCCCCAGACTTGGCCTGCTGAAAGTCCCTGGTCGGCACCCTCTCTCGGGTGAACGGTTGGCAGTTCTCCATCTTCCACCTTACCCAGTTCTTGTCGCGCGACAGCACCGTGTCCACCATGCGGTAGTAGAATTTGCCATCGGGTCCTTCCTGCAGGTAATTTGCAATGGCCGTCTTGATGCCCAATGCCCACTCGGTCTGTGCTTTGTCGTCAGCCGAGATAGATGATGACCACGACAGAATCGGTTGCAGTTGCAGTAGCCAACAATCAACCACAAAAAAACAGTTGGCAGGCCTGACCTGTGTGATCAAAAACAGACAGTAGCGAGAAAATCCCGCCCACCACTTACCTTTTCCGTCCCCAGTGTAAAGTGATACTGCATTGCCTTTTGCGCATTCTGGTAAAACGCCTTGCTCTTGGACTTTTCGGTTAATGTGAGCAAGAAGTCGATCAGGATCAGTGCTTGGACCAGGATGTGCCGCTGGAAGGCGACGTCGCTCAGCTGGAAATTGATCAGTCATAGCGCAGGGTCGATAGTGGCTCCCTTGCCTTACCTCGAGTCTGAACAGATCGCGGCTCGTCAGGTACTTGGGATTGTACGAGTTGGCAAACGCGTCGTACTCATCTCCCTCTCGTGATTTGGGCCCTTTTTTCCGCTCGCTGTCGCCAGCTTGGATCACCTTGGGCACCTCTTTGAACTTTGCTAGCGTCGCTTCTAGACCCTTTTGAAACTCTCTAAAATTGTCTTCTTCGAAAAGTCTTGGTGGGTTCGAGAAAGAGTGTTGCAGCGACCAGAACACAGGGTACAGCGTGTCGACATCCAGAGTCGCCCGTTTCGTCGTCGCGTCCTTGGCCTTGTCGCTGTCGCTGTCGCCTGCCTGGGGTATCCTGTCCTCGCCCTTTGCCTCGTCCTTGACCGCCGTTGTGGCTTCGTCCACATCCACCTGCATAGCCTCATCCGCCTCCGCCTCGTCGTCTGCCGCCGTATTTGATTCCTTCAGAAAGTCCTCAAATGTCGTTACATTTTCCACATGGAAATTTCCCCGTAGATTGACCGAACTTTTGTCGCCCAGGGGAAAGCTCTGAAACATGAAGATGTAGACACGCCCGCAAAACACCGGGTCCTCGGCACGCGACAAACGCCGAAGAAGCTCATTGCATAGTCGCAAAATGACCAGGTCCTTGTTTTTCGAGTTGATCTGCTCGTTGAGTCAGTCTGACAATCAATTGCCTCAAAAATAACCTTACCGCAATAATCGTCTCTCTCCTCGACTCGAGAAAGTTGAAGACGACCCGACATCCCGAGATGGACTGGCTGTCGAGAAGCTCTTCAATCAGAAGCAGGACAAGCTGTGGAGAGCATAGATCTGGGGGGGCTGTCAGACGTCGGCCGCAGAGTCGGTAGGGGTATACAAGATACCTCGATCTCCGCAGTACTGCAGGATGTCGAGTAGATTCCAAATCGTCACAAACGCCGGCTCCTCGATACGAGTGGACCCCTAGACATGTAAGCAGCTGTTGCGGCACTCGGACGAGAAGACGGGCAACGACTGACAAGATTGGCGTAGAAGACGCTCTTAGCCGCACTCTCGACTGCAAGCGTGCGCACTTCTTTCCCTCCCTCGATTTCGCCCAGAAGCGGCTCGCCCTCGGGCACCAGCTCCGATACCTGCAGTGGAGGGTCGATCGAAGCAACCTGCTTGACAATGCGCGCGCGCCGCAACAGATGGTCTAGTCTAGGTGCGACGGCATCTGCGGGAAGCACAGCGGGCACCGCCATTGAGGAGAAGATGGGTCGCAGCAGTCTTCAGTCACGGGCCGGGAAAAAGCGGTGATGCAACAGTGCGTGCTGGCCACCGTGTAGCAGCCGGGGCGGGCGAGAGGTGGCCTGATTAACGGCGATGTAACTTGAGCGGTGAGGGAGTCGGGCAGGGTGTTAGTATGTCAAGTTTGTGTCCTGGGAGCAAGAATGAAACTGTGCATCGACCATGGAGCTGGTCGCTTGCTTGAATAAAGTTGCGCCACAAGCCGGCTAGCGTCATCGGCCCGTGCGTGTGGCTGAACGCGTCAAGCGCGTCGCGCTCCATGTGCGCCTGCCTGCGCCTGACACTTTGCACACCCCCGCAGCGGATACAGCCCAGCATCACACAATGGCTTCAGCGAGCCCCCGCGCGCACCATGACGACTTTGACGATGACCTCGACGACATCCTCAAGGATGTGGTGGCCCCCACCCGCGTTGTTCAGTCGACCGAGAAACCCGTGCAGCCAGAGCCGTGGAGCAATAAGAAGACCAGCAGCAAAGACGCCGATGCCGCCTTGGGTGTCGACGAGGATATCGTCATCACGAAGAAGCGCCAGCCTGCGCCCAAGCTCGACGACCAGCGACTGCTGTCTGATCCTGGCATTCCTCGTCTGCGTAGGATCGCAAAGGACCGCCTGCGGTTCAAGGGAAAAGGACACGAGGTATGCACCAGCCGGCCTCTTGCACAATTCATTCTAAACCAGACCACAGTATGGAGACATTGCCCGCATGCTGAACATGTATCAACTCTGGCTCGACGACCTGTATCCTCGCGCCAAGTTTGCAGATGCCCTGGCCATTATCGAAAAGGTCGGACACACCAAGCGCATGCACATTATGCGAAAAGACTGGATAGACGAAGGGAAGCCACGGCGTGCTGCGGAGCCGGACAGCGACGACGACATGGGTGAAGATACGGCTCAGCAAAGCACAGAAGCCATGGACGGCATACAGAGCGGTTCCGGACATATGTCCGAACACCAAGAGCACGTGCAAGAGCCAGCAGTGCATTCAGCCGAGCAGACAACAAGCGGAGACCCCGACGACGACGAGCTGGACGCTCTGCTGGCAGAAAGTGAACAGCAACCTAGTACCACAGTCCAACAGACGCTGCCCACACGGCCCATGCCCGTGCCGGAGGATGATCCTTTTGCAGACGAGATGGAAGCCATGGCGGACATGGAAGAAATGTGGGATTGAGCGCCTGTACGCGTCAGCTTTACCATTTGAATTGCATAGCGAGGCGTTTTGAGGGACTTGTATGAGTTATGATAGCAACACACATATCAGGGTCCATGTTGAATAATTGACAGCGCCGACACATTGGTAGCCCAGGCCATGGCCATTTAACGCATGTATCTGAACCAGTCCCTAAGCAGCATCCGTATTTCATGGGGAATGTTCATGTGTGCTGGAAAAAAGATACAGCTTCTGGTGGCCATAGCCGTGCATCGTGTTCGTGCACCGGTGCTGCATGATGGTGGGGGAAGGAGCTCCGCCCCGCGACCCATCATTCCCTGCGAGGCTTGGCGTTTGGTCAACGTCATCTATTTTCTCCTGCGCACCACGAGAACAACAGGCACTCAACCACATTCGCTCTCGACCCGCGGATATGGAGACCTTGTCGGGGAAGCTGGAGGAGCTGCGGCTGAGCAGCAGCCAGCTCGAGCAAGACGCAGGCTACATAGACTCAATAGCCGGCAAGCAACGACCACCCAAGCGCCAACGGAAAACCAAAGAGGCCATCAAACAGGAGCTCGAGCAAGAGTTTCTGACGCCTTCGAGGTCGTTCAACACGCAGTGGCTCAATCGGCTCCAGCAGCGATGGGAGGCGCCCACCAACTACCACAGCTTGTTTCAGATCGCCCCGACTCAAACCCGCACCATCATCCGCTTCACACGCGAAGGCCTAGAAGGCCGCGTCACCGGGTACAAGGAAGTCACAGTACCCGCAAACTCTGCAACGGCAAAAAACTCTACCTCTCTGCTCAGGAAGCCTGCGAATAGAGCCGAATTTGTTCGTGGCGCAGCCGGCTTCTTTCCCTTTGCCCCCGGCGGCCTGGACGGCGTCGAGGCAATCGCCGCCATTGAAGATCAGGCAATTCAGCAGCACGAAAATGCCGACGGGAACAAGGCTCGAGGCCTCGACCGGGTCATCAATTTCAGCGCTGAAGGCGGCCTCCTCGAGGTTCCCCCTGGCTTTACACGTGGCCTAGACTTGCAGAAGAAACAAAGCACGGATAACAGCATTGCCCAAGAGGTGGAAGAAACGCTAGGAGAAGCTCCCGCTCCTGTTGGTGAGACGGGAGTCGACCAAGAGGATGTTGACAACACTGGCGCGGACGGCATTGACGTACCTGAAGACGGCCAGACTCCCGGAGAAGAAGAAATCGACGCTCTCTTGCCCGTCGAGTTCCCTGCACTCGCCCCTCATGGCCCCCTTGCCATGGGTACAGGAAGAAAGGCTGGGCGAGAATGGGCTCATATGGTTGACATTAACCGCGACATTACCAACTTCCGGGAGCTCGTGCCGGAAATGGCCCGGGAGTACCCCTTTGAGCTGGACACGTTCCAGAAAGAAGCAGTCTATCATCTTGAAAACGGCGATTCCGTCTTTGTAGCTGCACACACGTCTGCTGGCAAGACTGTGGTCGCAGAGTATGCAATTGCGCTCGCCGCCAAGCACATGACCAAAGCCATCTACACTTCTCCCATCAAGGCTCTGAGCAACCAAAAGTTTCGCGACTTTCGTCAAACCTTTGACGATGTTGGCATTCTTACAGGAGATGTGCAGATCAAGCCCGAAGCCAGCTGTCTCATCATGACCACTGAGATTCTCCGCAGCATGTTGTACCGTGGCGCTGACTTGATCCGAGACGTCGAGTTTGTCATCTTCGATGAAGTTCACTATGTCAATGACCTGGAGCGTGGCGTTGTATGGGAAGAGGTCATTATCATGCTTCCAGAACACGTGACACTGATCCTGCTCTCCGCTACCGTCCCAAACACATACGAGTTCGCATCCTGGGTAGGCCGTACAAAGAAAAAGGATATTTACGTCATATCCACACCGAAGCGGCCCATTCCTCTGGAGCACTATCTCTGGGCTGGCAAGAACATTCACAAGATTGTCACTGCAGACAAGAAATTCATCGACAACGGCTGGAAAGAGGCCAACGACATTCTCTCTGGAAAAGACAAGGTCAAAGCACCAGCCGCAAGCGATGCACAGGCTGGCAGAGGCAGCGGTGGTCGCGGTGGCCCGCCTGGTAGGGGAGGCCAGAATCAACGAGGAAGAGGGCAACAAGGAGGCGGTAGAGGGGGAGCACCCCGCGGTGGCGGTCCACCGGCAGCCAGAGGTCGTGGAAACATTGCAAGGACAGGTCGTGGCGGGGGCCGCACCACGGCTGCACAAGACCGCAACATCTGGGTGCATCTGATTCAGTACCTTCGAACCAAGGATCTGTTGCCGGCCTGCATATTTGTCTTTTCGAAAAAGCGCTGCGAGGAAAACGCGGATGCGCTGTCCAACATTGACTACTGCACTGCTGCGGAGAAGAGCGCGATTCATATGACGATTGAAAAGTCATTGGCTAGATTGAGCCGTGAAGACCGAGAACTCCCCCAGATCAAGCGCCTGAGGGAGCTGCTCAGTCGAGGCATTGCAGTTCACCATGGCGGCATGCTGCCCATTGTCAAAGAGGTGGTAGAGATTCTCTTTGCCAAAACGCTCGTCAAGGTCCTCTTTGCAACGGAAACCTTTGCCATGGGCCTCAACCTCCCCACCAGGACGGTCGTCTTTTCGGGATTCCGAAAGCATGACGGAAGAGAGTTCCGTGACCTGCTTCCGGGTGAATACACACAAATGGCCGGTCGTGCAGGACGTCGAGGCCTTGATACTGTTGGGACAGTGATCATCTGCGCGCCTGGCGCCGACGAGGCACCGCCAGCAGCAAGGTTGCGCCAAATGATGCTTGGTGAACCCACCAAGCTGCGGTCACAGTTCCGACTCACGTACAACATGATGCTCAACCTGCTGCGCGTAGAAGCATTGAAGATTGAGGAAATGATCAAGCGAAGCTTCAGCGAGAATGCGACCCAGGCATTGCTACCCGAGCATCAGGGTAAGGTCAAGCTCTCTGAAGCTGAATTGGAGAAGATCAAACGCGAACCCTGCGAAATCTGCGATGTCGATCTCGAGGCCTGCCATCAATCCTGCGAGGACTACAAGAGATTAACCAATGAAATGCACCTGAGCCTTCTAATCAACCCTATCGGCCGGCGAGTTCCTAGTAAGAATCGCCTGATTGTTTACAAAAAGGTACTGGGCTCGCTGAAGCACTTAGAGATCGATGGAGCCTAACGTTATTAGGACAACATACGCACGGCAGGGATGCTGATGCAGGATGGCACGAGTAAAGGGCATGAGCCGACAGTCAAGGTCTTGGAAGTTGCGCAGCACCAGGATCGTAAGCCTGACGACTTATTGCCCTATCTCGGTCCTTTTGCGCAGCTGTACCGGAAGCTACCGAATAATCCCAAGGATCTGATTCTCAAGACGGCTTTTGTCCCCTTGAATGATATTGAATGCTTTACCAAGACGACCATTGATGTTCCAGAGTCTGTGCAGAATCTGAACCGAAAAAAAGGCAAGTATTAGATGCAATGCAAGGGCGGCACAGGGCTAACTCTGGGCAAGATACCCTGAAACTGGCCCAAGACCAGTTTCTGCCCTTGTGCGGGTCATGGGACTACGAGGACTGGGACGAGTATGATTACAGTCGCATCAAGAGTCTAAAGTTCCGAGAACTAGAAGAGGCTCGCAAAAGGGAGGGCCAGAATGCGGTTAGCAAAATGTGCTTGAATTGTCCGAACTTCCTAAAACATGTAAGACTTGCCAGCAGCGCGAAGCTGCATATGCAGAGACTAATGGCTGCAGTTTGCCATGGAGCATGACCAGTGGCTGATCAAGGAAAACATCCACGCTCTCCGACAACTCATGTCAGACCAGAATCTGCAGCTCCTACCCGACTACGAGCAGCGCATACAGGTGCTCAAAGACCTCGGCTTCGTCGACGAGGGCTCGCGCGTAGAGCTGAAGGGCAAGGTAGCATGCGAGGTATGCCCGTCGCCTACCGCAGCACGATTGAGTCATGTACTGACGGCGTTCAGATCCACTCAGCCGACGAGCTAGTCCTAACCGAGCTTGTTTTGGAAAACGTACTCGCCGAGTATGAGCCCGAGGAAATAGTTGCATTGCTCTCGGCCTTTGTTTTCCAGGAAAAGACCGATGTGGAGCCTACGCTGACAGCGAGCCTGGAACGTGGCGTGGCCAAGATTGTCCAAATCTCAGAAAAGGTCAACGATATCCAGACTAAACACCAAGTCATTCTGTCGGCCGACGACTCGAACGATTTTGTCAGCAAGCCCCGCTTTGGCATGGTCGAGGTTGTGTACGAATGGGCGCGCGGCATGTCATTCAACCGTATAACGGATCTGACGGACGTCATGGAAGGCACAATCGTCCGCGTCATCACCCGACTTGATGAGACGTGTCGTGAGGTCAAAAACGCTGCTCGCATCATCGGGGATCCCACGCTGTTCCAGAAGATGGGGTCGTGCCAGGAACTCATCAAACGGTATTTGCATCTCTTGCTGCGGCATCCAGTGCCGAAGTCCGGCGGCCTGCCCTACGGCTGGGTGCGCGCACGATTGGGTTGTGCTCGGCTGACGAATTTTGTGAAACAGGGACATTTGCAATTGTGCCAGCTTGTACCTGTAATAGCATGCCCCAGCATGCACGCGTTTCCAGGAGCAAGGCGGGGTGACGACGTGGGTATCCCGGCGCGTCGACCACGGCAGGGCTTCCAGCGTGTTTCAGACGTGTGTTTTGGCGAAAGCATGGATCGTAGCCGCAACAAGGAACATCTTCCTCACCCGACTCGTGCTGACGAGACGGGAAGAAAAACATCCGGAAAAAAATGTCCATTAGGATCGACGAACCTTGTCCTCGCTTAACGTATGTGGCAAGCGAGCGCCGCAGGCAAGCGAGCGCCGCACCCCACCAAACCTGCGCACCTCTATAAGCCTGTAGTTCCACCACAATATAGTTGTTTTACTACATATTAACATAATAGATTAAGCAGTACCTAGAGTATCTTTCTTGCACGTACGCGAGTTATGGCCAGTCTCTCTGCACCTACTACAGCGCGCCAAAGCCTGGCGGCTAACACCTAATCGCTCTCCTCTCTGACGCTCTTCATGAGCAATCTGCTGATTAGCCTCGCGCTGAGCGAGTAGATCCTCTCCAGCTCCCTTTGTAAGTACTCCTCGCTTCTGTATCCGCTTTTCTTACGCTGCCTACGCTTTGTTGCTGCCTCATTTAGCCCTCTCAAGGCTGGCGAGCTGATCGCGCAATTAGCTCAGCCGAGAGCAATCATTATCTCTGCTCCCTTCTTAAGCTGGG